AGGAGACAAAGGCAGAAAATGAGACAAGCCACGGTATCAGGAAAGCCTACAAGATGAAGTGTTTCAAAAGAAGGGTATGTCAAAAATATACTTCAGGGGAATGGCTGCAAAAGGGTACGAGGAGACTTTCTGAAGTAATGAAAACATCTGTATCATGACTGATGGGTAGGTTCACAACTGTATACATTTGTCAAAACTCATTAAACAGTACACAGAAAATTGTTGATTTTTACTGTATATTATGTTATACCTCAGCGACTCTGGTTTCTAAAAAGTGTGTATGTCAGGAAAGACAATTTTTTACAGAAGGCAAGAGTTCTAAGATGAAAGAATACTAAAGAGGTGTGCCAAGTGGGTGTAACGTATGGTCTTTGACTCGATTCTGTATCCCTCCCCACAAAAAGCTATGAAGAGCATTTTAGGGGCAAACTGGAAATGTGAATATGGACTATATATTAAACTGCATAGTATCAACGCTAAGCTTTTTTTTTTTTTTAAGTGTGGTCATTTTCTTGTGCTTATGTAGGAGAATACCCCTTTCTTGGAGATGCATATTCAGGTATTTGGGGGTAAAATAAGAATGTCTGCAATCTAGGCTCAAAAGGTTCAGAAGAAAGAACATATGAGTGTGGAGGAGAGACCAGGAGATAAGCAGATGAAGGCAGCGAGTACAAGGCACTCTTTTCAAGAGCGTTTCCCTGAAGGACAGCGGAGAAACAGGACGCGGCATTAAGTCTCCCCACACCAAAGGTCGTATGGAGACGTTGTGTATGTTGAACCGGTAGAGAAGAGGCTGATGGCGCAGGACAGAAGGGGTATCAGTGGAGAAGCAAAGTCTCTGAAACCGTGAGAGGGGCTGGGACACAGGGTCCAAAAGACAGGCATCACCTTAGGTGACGTGGAAGATGATGGTGACAACGGGGCACGAGTGTCTACGCTGGAAATGGCCAGGCACTACTGAAAGCATTCTTACTCATTTAATTCTCACACCAACTCTAAGATACAGGTATTACTAATACCTCCTTTTACAGATGAGGAAGCTGAGGTACAGAAAAACTAAATACCTTGCCCAGTGACACGTATCTAATAAAGAGCCACCTGAGCTTCTGGAACCCAACGGAAGAGACCCCCCTCCGCCCGGCAGGGCAGGCCGGGTCTGGGCGCCGCCGCAGCAGCTGCGCGCCCGGCAGCGGCAGATGACGCGGCTCTGCCAGGAGTCCCTCTGTCTTCTCAGCGTGGCGTGTGGGGAGTTCGTCGGCGGAGGGGGTGTTGGCGATTTGAGAAGAGAGGGTGAGAAGTTCTTGCTTCAGACAGAAGGCAAGGGAAATTACGAGCCACGGCAGTACTGAATGCCCCTCTGGAATTAGTCGTCATAAATTTGCAATCTACTTGTCCTGACTAGACGGTATCTTCTGGCCGTTTTCTTTTTTTTTAAGATTTTATTTATTTATCTGAGAGAGAGAGAGAATGAGAGAGAGAGAGCACGAGAGGGAAGAGGGTCCGAGGGAGAAGCAGACTCCCCGCCGAGCAGGGAGCCCGATGCGGGACTCGATCCCGGGACTCCAGGATCATGACCTGAGCCGAAGGCAGTCGCTCAACCAACTGAGCCACCCAGGTGCCCTCTTCTGGCCGTTTTCAGGGCTTGAGAGTAGGCCTAAAGAGGACAGCTGGGTTTAGCTAGGGAGGGACTTTTACAGACAAGTGACACCCAGGAAAAAAAGCAGCCAGGGAGTAAGTAAGGGGGATGCCAGAGAGCGGTGAAAGCGTGGGGGGTGGAATCTCGGCTAGATAAGGGGGAACACATGACCATCATGAACGTGATCCATACGGAAAAAGTGGTGGGGTCGGAGGTCTGGAGACTGTGAGGTCAGAGGGTAGTTGGGAGTGTGGGTTCACAGTAAGAAGCAGGAGTGGGCTGCGTGGAGAGGGTATTTCAAGCGCAGTGCCATTACTGATGAGGAGATCCAGCGTATGACCATGTGGATGGGAGGCTGAGGGTACAGAATAAAAGACAACAGGATAGGGGTGCCGGGACGGCTCAGTCGGTTGAGTGTCCAACTCTTTATTTTGGCTCAGGTCATGGCCTCAGGGCTCTGAGATGGAGCCCCGAGTCTGGCTCCCCACTCAGCAGGGCGTCCGTTTCTCCCCCTCTCTCTCTCTCAAATAAATAATCTTAAAAAAGGAAAAGAAGACAATGGGATCAAAAGAGGCCAGGGTGCTGGATGAATCCTCTCTCTGAATGCTGAAGTTACACAGAGAGGTAGAAAAAGCAGCGGTGGAGAGTCATCAGTGAAGATGGGACAGAAGACAGCGACAAACCAGAGTAAGGGGAGTAAAGCCCTACATTATACACTTTAAGATGTTGGGGGGAGCTGGAGGGGAAAGATGGCGAGACCATCTGGAAGCTGCAGTGGGGAGCAAGGATATACCCACCCCACCTGTAGGCTCAGAGGCATATAAGGTGAGGAGGCAAAATCAGATTCTAACCCTCAGAGCAAGAAGGTGGAGGGACTGTTCAGAAAGAGACTGAGGATACAGCACAACACTTGGCACGTGGTAGATATTCAGCCAGTATTTCTTGAATTTGAATCTTAACTTTTCGAATAGTTTACTATACCCTAAAAAGGAAAAAACTAAATTTATTTATAAAGAAATCAAAACCAGATTAAAAAGGAAATGATCTTCTAATGATTATATTTTTCAAATCCATGAAAGGCTCATTTTCAAAAATTAGTCCCCTGGCCAAGATCAACAGAGTCAAACAGCATCATATTGTTTTTGGCTTAGTAAACATGGAAAACTCACTGTCATAAAATAAAACCAGGCATTCTCTTGCATAAGAATTCAATATCAGAACAAAATTAAGTGAATTCTGTCTTGTTGAAGCTTAGATAATAGCCTTTCTGAGCATAAGCTGACCAGAACTTAAATCTACTATGGTTCAAGCAGAGAAACCCAAATCCCTATGAAATAAGAATAAATGACATTTCCTAAACATATTCTTTGGAGTGTAACACAGTACACTTTGGAATATACTGTCCTTCTTGAAGTAGTAGTAGGACCGCTCCATGAAAGCTTTGGAGGTATGCCTTTACTGAAGAAAGATAAGTTCTTCTCAATGTTACAGTTTTTGCTTTTTTTTTTTTTTTATTTGTTCTAAATGTCTTTGTAAGACTAAGAAAATGTCGTAATTCTTTTACGCTTTAGCAAAACAAATGTTTTATTTTCTATCTATAAAGCTGCCTCAGGGTGCCTGGGTGGCTCAGTCGGTTGAGTGTCTGATTCTTTATTTTGGCTCAGGTCATGATCTCAGGGTCATGAGATTGAGCCCCACATAGGGCTCTGCGCTCAGTGGGGAGGTCTGCTTGAGATTCTCTCTCTCTCTCCCCCCCCCGCCCCACCCCCTGCACATGTATGCACACACACACTCTCTCTCTAAAATAAATACATCTTAAAAAAATAAAATAAAACAAGCTGCCTCCTAAGCATTTCTTTTTTTCTTTTTTTAAGAGAGGGAGGGTGGAGTCGGGCAAAGGGAGATGGAGAGAGAGAATCTTAAGCAGGCTCCACGCTAGGCGGGGCTCAATCTTACAATCCTGAGATCATGACCTCCTAAGCATTTCTTTTTTTTTTTCCCTTAAGATTTTATTCATTTATTTAATTTTAGAGAGAGAACTTGAACAGGAGGGGGGCAAAGGGAGAGAATCTCAAGCAGACTCTGCACTGAGCATGGAGGCCAATGTGGAGCTCAACCCCATGATCTCAGGAGATCATGACCTGAGCCAAAACCAAGAGCCAGCCGCTCAACTGACTGAGCCACACATGTGCCCCTATGACCTCTAAGCATTTCTAATAAGCAGTCTGCACACAGCTCAATGAAATTCTATAGTCCTCTATGGTCTTAAAATGTACAATGAACATCTAATACTTTTTCTCTAAGACTAAATTTTACTGGGATTTATCTAGAATCCCTGGTTTTTGTTTTTAACAATTATATTTGGTTGTTTAACTATGATCATCAATCACAATGTGGACTGGTTCAACTGCAGGTTACTTCAAAAGGCTCTTCACTTTTTGGCTTATTCATAAACTATGAGGTTCTTACTACTAGATAAAAAGTGTACTAGTAGTTCCATTATACCAGATAAATGAATTCGGGAAGGATAGCCAATCCTCCTAGTGTCATTAGAGCCTAATATGATGTGTCAGAGAAAGCAATCAGTCAACAATATACACTGTATTCATTTACAACACACAGCTGGCATTGGGAGTAAGAGATTCTCTTTTCCATGAAGAACCCAGCTGCAAGTAATCTCTACTAAATTTCTTTAGTACTTTGTATATTCCTTATGGGACCTTCTCTTTGGAGGACAGTGATTTCTGGGCTTATTTTTCTTTCTAGATTATAAGCAAGATGCCTTAACATCTTTAGATGGTCTCAAGTATTACAGCATTATTTGTAATTTATTTAATAACCCAGCACTAGTAGGAGAACAGAATGGAATAGTAACACTATCAATACCAAATTCATCAGTATTATGGACTAAATAGGCTTGTGATGTTTGGTCTGGGAATCATGTCACCATTTACATAATACAGGTAACTGCTTTGAGTTCCCAAAACCCAACTTACAAATTCACCCTCAGAACCCAGCAGGGAATTCTTACACTGTATGTATAACCAGAAAGGCTACAGTAAGTCTGTAGAGCAGTCAAGATGCTAACCTTTCCGATTTTGTAAGAGAATGAATTTTTTCTCTTAAAAATACAGTAATTTTAAAAGTAACTTTAAAGTAAATCTTTTAATTTTTTAAAGTTATTTTTAAAGAGAGTATAGGAATTTAAAAATAATCTTTTGTGAAAAAAGTGGGAAAATGTTTCAAAATTAATGCATGGATATATATCTGACCAACCAAACATTTTAAATGGCTTTTGGTTAATCCAGAGAATACTATTAAACAAAGCAAACTTACATCGTTCATAAACCCAATTTCAACTTACCATTTATGTTTATTGCTGGTAATACTATTGACATCTTTGGTCTTGAGGTCTTGTTGTGGGTCGTGGCCGGTAGCAGCAGGTGATCCTAAGAATAACAAGCAACAACCTGTTATAACTGGCTTAGTCTTATAATAGGCCCAAGTCAGAGTTTCTAAGATGCCAACATTTCATTGGGATCATAAACAAAAATGACATTTTTTATTTTAACTTGGCTCAGAGGTAATTAACTACAAATCATCTTATGATTTACTGAGTGTCTATCATTACCAGGTGCTATGTAGTATTCTTGGAATACTCCTAGGTTCTGATAACATACATGTTGTGGCGTACTTTAAAGGGTACTGGCCAAGGAGTCTGAACAGAAGGACTGTAATTCTAGATCGGCCGCTAAGAGCTGTATGATCTGGGTCTGTTTCCAATCCTGTAAAATGAGGAGGCTAGACTAGATAATATCACAAGATACTGAAATTATCTATCCAATACAGTCATTTTCACTTTTTTTTTTTTTTAAGAGGAGGAACATTTCTGCCCTCCTCCCAATTCTGATCCCAAATTGCTGGTATATAAAGCAGACATTCTGTTTGCAGTTTGTAGTAAGGCCAGAGCCTGGAACTTTGTCTGCTTAGCCTCCTCTTCCTTTGAAGCAACCACAGCATTAGATTTCTTTTGGTAAGCAATAAGTATATACTAAAGAAGATGTATAGTTCTTGCCCTTAAAAAGCATATACTTCAATGGAAGAATTAAAAAAAATTATAAATGCACGTCTAGCACAATTATAAAGTTCCAAATGTAATAATGCCAACATTGGATAATCTATAAATGACCCATGGCATCTGAGGTTTCTGGTTTCCAACCACACAAATACTAAAAGTAAGATGAGCCAAGAGGAGTCTGGCTTCGAAAAAAGGGGAGTATGTGTGTTTTGGAAAAGGTATGTATGACTGCAGGTATTCCAAAGCGGATTATACGACTTATAACTTTGTTATGAACTACTGTTTAAACATCAATAACTCCTTTTTCCTAGCAAAAACATAGGAATTGTCACGAAAGAAAGAAAGAAAGAAAAAGAGAGAGAGAGAAAGAAAGAAAGAGAGAGAGAGAGAGAAAGAAAGAGAGAGAGAGA